AATATGTTCAATTCTGAACATATATATTGAAAAGGAAAGATTTGGAACTGACTCTCAAATCGGTGACTATATATTTATTGGGCATTTAGGGTGTAGTTTGATAGATCATGTCTTAGCATCGAGTGACGTGTTCCCCGGTATCACCGATTTTGATATATTATCTCGATTGGAATCGCACCATCTACCTGTACATTTGGCCATTAAAAGAAGCAGTTGCACAAAGTCAGACCCCAAGGTAACCGTAAAGAATACAGATATACGTAGAAATACATGGTTTTTCACAGTATTTTGTCAACAGCACTGGGTTCTCTTACAGACGTGTCTGGTACAGTCGCATTATTAACTGGTGCTATTTCAACAGCCGCTTCTATGTTGAAGACATGAGTGAGCGAGAACTATAGACGTTCACCGTGGTTTGATGATGAATGTCTCGGTAAAAAAACATGAACGGTGTCATTATTTAAATGCGTTTAGAAAAACTAAAGATAACTAATTCCTTATTAAGTATAGCATCAAGAAGGACCAGTAGGCACAATGGAAAAGGAGTGACCTAGAAAACCCAGCAGCTGGAGATTCTAAACGTTTGGGACATGATAAAGTATGTGTCTAGACGACCGCAACACCCCAACCCTTTTCTCGTCGCTGTATTCTAAACAGATGGGTATTCAGGATCATCTTGGTGAGGTGGAGGACATAGTGACATGTCCAGGTTATGGTGCAAGAACTGACAATTGACATATTAGATTCCCAAATCACCAGATATGAACTTTTTGAAAAAATATACCAGCTGTTCTTGACGACAATCTTAGTGAATATATCTAAAATATTCGTCCGTTGTTATGATACCTTATTTAAAAATCATATTTAACATCATTTGTCAAAACGATGTTTTCCCTAAATGTTGGGCTTCTGGGATAATTATCCCGTTGTATAAGAAAGGGGACGCCTCTGTTCCTGATAATTATAGGGCTATAAGCCTCCTTAGTATCCTAAGTAAGGTTTTTACATCTATTTTAAACAGAAGACTTGTGTATTTGGCTGAAACACTTGACAAAATATCTGAATGTCAGTCGGGTTTTTGGAAAGGTTATTCAACTATTCAACTGTTTTGTTTTAAACTCTGTCATTCAATGTTATCTTTCACGTAAAGGAGGTAAATTATTTGAAGCATTTATTGATTTCTCTAAAGCATTCGACTCCATTCAAAGCCCCCTTCTATTATGGAAGCTATTGTACAAACATGGTTTGAGTGCTAAAATGGGTAAAATGTTACAATCCATCTACAGTAATGTAAAGGCGTGTGTTCGTTCAAACAACACGGTATCTGGTACTTTTGATTGCTTATTTATAATATATTTCTACTTCTGTTTGCGGATGGCCTTATTGTGTTTGGCAATACTGTAAACAACTTACAAATATCTTGCATGACTACTGATGTAAATGGGAAATGTCAGTGAATCTATCGAAAACAAACATAGTTGTTTTTAAAAATGGGGGAGGTTTATCACGTTATGGAAAATGGTACTATGATGGAAGTAGTTACTGGATTCAGTTATTTTGGCTTCTATTAGATTAATGAGGTCGACAGGTTAGATAATATTGCAATTCAGGCAAGAAAGGTGTTCATGGTCCTGTCAAGTAGTATACATTCCTGGAAACCATACTCGCCTTACTTTTACTTCAAATTATTTGATGCAAAGATAACACCAATACTTTTATTTCATTTGGTGATGTGGTAATAAAACCGTATTTTTAAATATGTTACGTTAGCGGTTAAAAGACACTGTTTCTCAGGTTTGGCATAGTGATCTATCCGAAAGCCCCAAAATGGCTTATAATGCACAGTTTCGTGTGAGGACTATTTGAGTAGTATAACTATAAATCTATAAATAAATTCAGGACCACATTGACTCGTTTTCGGCTCAGTTCTAACAATGTAGAAATTGAACGTGGACGACATTTCAATATTCCTCGTTAATTTAGAAAATGTAAAGTTTGCACCTCTAAACCATATCGAAAATGAATATCACTGTTTGTTAATTTGTCCAGCTTATAGCCACCTTGGGCAAAGTCACATATAATCTAAATCTTACATCTTTCCAATTATTCTGAAGTTTAATACACTACTGCCATCGCAAAACCCTATTATCAATATGAATACAAAAAAGTACGCCAATGCTATAAGAACACAAATACTCCAAACTTTGAAAAAATGCAATTATGTTAAAACTGCTTTTTCAAAAAACAAAAAGCAAAGAAATGTGTTGTATTTTATACTGTTTGCACCTAAATTGTATTTCATTTGTACAAAAAGGCCCTTGGCTTACAAGTACTGAATAAAGTGAAGACCAATTATTCGTAATAGAATATGTTGAACTTCGCGCGTTTTCTCAGGAACAACATATAGTAGAGCCATGGAACTTGTGAAAGTGCTCTTCACCTTGCATATTCCAACAACCTCTCAACAACGACAACCTGGTCGTTATTTGCAGGTTTTCTTTATGGGTCATTACTGACGTGTCATTTCGCTGATTTTATTAAATGCTAAAGTGTATCTAGGGACACTATACAATATGACTTTATTTACGAACAATTGAATCAGCGTGTCCGCCTGTCTGTCGGTCTGTTCGCAGAAAATAACTTTCCGGACAATTCCTTCTAAACTAATTGACTAATTTCAATTTTCAAACTTTGTACACGTGAACACTTCATCATGTTGTTGGGCACATTGCAATTGTTTTTTTCATTTCGGCGGAGTTGTTGCCTTTTATTACTTTGTCATTTCAATTTGGCTGGACAACTTCTAAACTACTACATCGATTTCTTTCAGATATTTACGTAGGTGTAGCTACGGACACTGTACGACATGCCTTCACTTCCATTACCATTGTGGTACCATGGCAAGGGGACGGAGGTCGCTCATTGGTCGAAATTTAGAATTGATCGATTTCGTTCAAATGTTGTATATTGACATATTATGGGACTCCGAACTTAACCACATAGTTATTGTTTTTATTATGTCATTGGAAAGGTAGCATCTGATTCAACCTTTAAATACTCTACCCTATTTCGTATAATCTTCAAAAAACAGAGGTTGCAATTATGTCGTCCAATATGATTGCAGAGGGACGTTTGTCAACTCATGTCAACATCATCATACGTCTGTGGGAGGTATTTAATTCCTCATAGGACAGTTCTAGTTAGCTTTATTATTATCCATACATGCAAGATGTCCGAAAGGCTGCCATCCGTCTTCGTACGACGTGCGTCATCCGTCATGCCTAATGTTCTTTTTTCGCTGTTTTCCATCAACAATGGTCTTACTACAGGATATGCTAAATTGGTATAGAAAAAGTATAGACTTCATATCCATAGTTTACTTTTCATGGCTATTTTTGACTCAACAGGGTCAAACCAACGGGGTGTTGTTGTTTTCAACAAAAACATCACTGCATTGGAATTCCTGTCGTTTGTAATATCATATGGCCCTGGTGTATCCTCAACTGTCATTCTGCTTCAGAATGTCCACTATACTATGCCTAAAACTCTGTTAATGTACCATTCTCACAACCCGCCACCATCTACGTCTTGCTCTGATCTGCTTGGTCTGAGTCCTCCTTTCCGTCGTTATCGTATTTGGATAGTAACGGAATCGAGGTTACCTTGTAGAGTATCGAGAGATAACCTTTGTACAAAAGTAAGTTAGATAGAAATCGGTTGAAAGGGTAAGGGGTCATAACCCCTTTTATAAAACCTGCATATAGCAATCAGGTGACCGTTGTAGAGAGGGAATCTAAACATGATTAGTCATTTGCACATCTAGACAAAGTAACGATCAATTAAAACTGCGAAGTTTCGTGAATGTTCGATAAAAAAAATTTCATAGTAATAACCTTAATGTAAAAAATACATTATCTGTCACTTCAACCCTTAATGTAAAAATGTTTTTATTAAGAGTTGTAACAAGGGTTTACCCGCAACCCTTAATGTAAAAGTTTTTACATTAAGAGTAATTTTCACATTTAGGGTTGTAACAGAGCTTCACTCATTGAATACAGCCCGTGTAAGCGGACATCTAATTTTAAGGCACTTGAATGAAATTGGTCTGTATCATAATTTAGTATTATGTATGTGAATAACTAATTGCTTATTTTTAAATTTGGTGTCATGCTTTTATCAAAAACCAGTGTTTGAAACCAACTTCTTGCTGAGTCTTTTATAATATTAGCTAGTATTGTGCACAACCCCCAGGGTTAAACTGATGATGGTAATCCTGCTGGGGTATCGTGCATGAATCTGAGGTACGGTAAGTCCCCATTTGGTTACTGGTGGCCTATACCCGGTGTTATAAACAGTTGTTGATATTGTTGCTATGTCCAAATATGTCAATTGTATATATAGCAACGTGTTATCGTCGCTATGTGGTGTAAATAATTTCGATGCACTCACTCGTGGAATACTGCTTTGCTTTCTCTTGAAAGAAATCGAACATTGTGAGCATTACTTTAACAAAAACATACATAGCCAGTAAGTAGCCAGTAAGTAGCCATGTTTAGTAGTGTGCATAAGGATGTTCAACAGATCACAAAACTAAAGCCGCTTTGCTCATGGATCTTCACCCATTTACTATTGTTTGGCCGTCCGTTTTGAGCTGGTCTCCAATATCAGTGACAGCATTTACCGTAAATATAGATGCATATTTAGTTACATTACATAATCGTTGACATCCTCGCAAAACAACCATCTATTTAAAAATATTACGTGTCCACAAAATATGAATATGAATATAAATATGAAACAAATGGGAGCACACCGTATGATATTCTCATTCCGTATCGCGTTCATCATCTATGTGGATATTTCACGCCTTTGTAAGGGTGCTTCTTCAATGAAAGACCGGCCCCCAATTATGTTATTGATAGCTTCCACGTTACATGACGCGCCAGATCTGACTTTCGAAAATATTGGTAAATCTTATTCCATGTATGTTTCATATCTAGATGGAGCTTGTGCAGGATTACAGTCGACTGGCGGCCATATTGATGTCCTGGACTGTCACAGCGTTCATCTGTCATCAGTGTGCCAAGAGTTATCTTTCCTTTCTCGGAGCGAGTACCATGGGTTACATGTCGGTGTCCATGCTTCAGTTATCATTGTGTGTGTTGACGTTGACGATCAAGTCGGGGAAAGAAATCCCGTCATCATGGCAACACAAGGCAATGACTTTAGCTGGTCACGTGATAGCTACACTAGCAACTAATTACAGCCTTTCTCTAATTCACGCCTCGTCAACATTCGCCATTAAAATGCTGGAACCAATCACAAGTGCCGTTATACAGAGGACTTTGTTCACGGTGACCTTGCCAATCTCATCGATGTTAACATTACCGGTCATTGTGTCAGGGGCAATCCTATTTACTGGAAACCCATTCCAAGACGCTGCATTGTCACAAGGCCTCCTGTGGGCACTAATTTCAAATCTGGCCCTCGCATTTCGTAATATATCAATGAAACGTTTGTTCCAAAATGGTCACCATCTTGAGGCTAGAACAAAAGTCGTAACACTCACGACCACAGGGACTCTGCTGCTGATGCTGTGTCTTCTTTGTTTAGTCCAGGGACCTTCCTTCTGTCATCTGGGGATACTAGCAACGTCGTCCGCCGTCTTCCACGTCGTATACACATATCTGTCAGTGGCATTGGTGTTAAAGTCTGTTTCTGTCGTCACACACGCCGTCATCAACATTTTTAAAAGGGTCGCCGTCGTTTTAATGTTGTGTGTGTTTGGAAGAAGGGGGCTAACTTTGATCAACATCGCGGGGTTATTGGTGTCTGGTCTGGGCCTCGTACTCTACACTATCAAGAAGAACCAAGCGCCAAGTCCAGCTATGACCGTTCCTGCTGTAAGCACAAAAGGTAACGTGTAAGCATAGTGGCAACGGCATGCCTTCGTCACTCCAAAGATCGGGGTTCGCACACCACACGTGTACAATGTGTAGAGGATATCCAAGTTGTCCCCGCCGTAACATTCCTGGCTTATTGCTCAACGAGACCTAAAACCATTTTCCCTCTCTTGCTGTTGAGATTTGTGGAATAATTCTAATTATTTGCGATTTACGTTAAAAATCATTTCCCTAATAATTTATTACTTATTACTTTACTAAATTACTTTCAAATTCTTTTGCAGTATTTTGTTAAACCTTTCTTTGGGATCAACCATCTGTCAGATTACAATCAAAGTGATATATACATTGTCTCCGAAAGAACCGGGGAACTTTAAGTCACTTTATAACACCAGGTGTGTCGTGCACACACAGGAGGCTGGGTGGGGATGGGGCCACTTGCAATGACAGGAGCATTGTGTCTCACATTACATTCACAAACTGAAACAATAGTTCTCAGTAAATGCAATCTCCACCACAACGCCAATTGTGATTCTCTGATTCTATCATGGTTTCATTGAAACCATCCAGGTAATGCAGGGGTTGGATCCGAAACAAATTTAGCAACTCAACGAGAAAACACTCCCTATCATCCATTACACAGTGTGCTGTGGTTACGTCAAGAGGGTGGTCATTGTCTGTTGTATCCAGTCATCCAGGACCGGTTTTGACTGAGCAGTGGAATTAATGCCGTGATTATAGACCGTGTTTTATTGCCAAGTGTCACGTCGCCAATGCCATATCACTTACACAGCTATGTGCATGCATGTATCACTTACACAGCTATGTGCATGCATGTATCACTTACACAGCTATGTGCATGCATGTATCACTTACACAGCTATGTGCATGCATGTGTGTGGCTGCTAGTCCTCACGTAACAACAGTAAACTGTTGTATGCCGGGGTTGGACCACCAACGCAGACCCTGAGTTACGACGATGTTATATAGGTCACATAGGAAAAGGTTGAGTCACGAATATCGACCAGAAATAGACGAGGGTTAACGTATTCCGTTACATCCCGTGTATTTAGTTTCCTAATTTAAAAAATCTCACATAAATTGGTCTGTATAATAAACAAAGAATATGTGTTTAAATTACACAAAGGTATCATCCATAGTGTAGTTCATATAGTTTTCTTGATATTGTTGACTGTTATAAATATATATTTACACCACATGCCTGTGACATTTACCTTACTCTTTATTGTACATATTGTAGAACATTTGTTATTTTTTCGCGTCGCCACGTGGCTGAAATATCGCCATGACGAAGTTAATTCACGCGCTCAGTGTATTTGATATTCTGTCCTCGGTACACGGTTTTTGAATTTGTATCACCTGTCAATATTTCGTATATTTCAGGAACTGTTCAAAGAGTAGCTTTGTTTCTCCTGCCCCTGGCCTTGCTCTGCACAGCTACCGGAGTTACAAAGCTTCACTGGGACACTTTGGCTAACATCAAAATTCAACAGACGGAATTATCTCCAATTGACGCAACCGAATACTGGAAATCCATTGGCCTGCACTTCACACCTGAGAACGGACTTGAAGACTTTATTTCTATGAAGTACGTAGACCACCCATACGAGACAGACAGACTGTCGCCGTTACTGACGCGCCACTATGACGTCATCAAGGAAGCACAAAGAATACATTTCAACATCTTTAACGACTTGATTGGTACCAAGAAATACGCTATTTTATTTGATGTGGCCGACTACGAAAACAAAGGAGACCCTGCCATATCGACTGGAGAAATTATCTTTCTTCGTAAACTCGGCATACAGCTTATTTATTATTGCTTGACAAGCAAATGCCCCAACGCAATACATCATTCTGTAAAGATCAGTGAAAAGTACCCCAAAGATCAAGTTATAATTCTTTTCCAAGGAGGTGGAAATATGTTTTCGTATAAAAAAACTGACGAAATAAGAGAAAAGGTGATCAAGTCTTTCCCCAATCATCAAATCATCTGTTTCCCGCAAAGCATCTGGTTAAGATATGAAGCATCAGAAATAAACCGCTTAGCGAAAATATATAATGGCCACAAAGATTTTACACTATTAATCAGAGATAGAAGCTCATTGGAAAAGGTTAGCGCTCTCCTGAACAACACGAGGCGTATTCTTGCCCCTGATATGGCGTTTCAGATGGGAGCAGTGTCCCGCTTTGCTCCTCCAACATTTGACATTTTGTGGTTGAAAAGACATGACGAAGAGGCTATCGGGTACACACTACCAACGTTTCCTAAAAATGTTACCGTTCACGTTGCAGACTGGTTCCGCACGTGGCCAACAGCAAGAGACGAATCCACAATGGAGATGGCTATCCATATGGCTACAAATGGTCTGTTGTTTCTTCAGAGAGGACGTGTAGTCATAGCTGACCGGCTTCATGGCCATATTTTGTCCGTGTTGTTGGGCATTCCGCACGTGATTCTGGACAACTCCTACCACAAGGTGACCAGTTACCACAAATCCTGGACACAGGGCATGGACAATGTCAAGGTCGCGAGTACGAGTGATGACGCGTTGCATATGGCACTGGAATTCCTTGACAAACAAGATGACATTTTACCACCCATTCTACAGTACCATGTTAGTCATGATTAAAACTTTCACATAAAACAGCTCTTGGTAAATGTGAAGCTAGGTTACACGTGGTTTGTTGGAAGCAGCTTAGGATCAGAATGTCAGACGATGTATAATACCTATTTGGGGCCCCTAAGTTGACATGATCAAACAATGTTTACAAAATATAAGGTTTACAGATAGTAGTGGCTTTCGAATTGATAAATATATACTCTTCAAAAAAAGAAACGCAAAGCCAGATTTGTATGAGGTAGGAAAATACAGTCAGCTACGTTTATAACGAACGAACATGCACGCTTATGACGAACTGGCGGATATGACGAACTGTTTTGGTCCCGTCCATTCGCTGTATTTACATGTATGTTGTAAATATGTCTTAAACGAACTACGGTTATAATGAACTAAACTTCGTTTTAACCGTAGTTTACTCTATGTGTTTGTGAGGTTTGTGTTGAAGGTGTCCTTGTTTAAATTATGTATGTTTGTTGTTTGTTGGCATTTATGATGGTGTAGGTACGAGGGCTGATCAAACAGTTTTGACTAACTTTCAACTATGGGCCATAACAAAAAGAGCCAGTCGTTTGAGTTTGAGTAGTTCATGTTATATTTGGGATAACACTTTCTTCGTAATGTACAGATTTCTTAGTAAAGTCAGCGATCTAACCCACTCAGCCACCGAGGCCACGAGAATCTATTCTTTACTAAGAAAGTGTTATCCAAATATAACATTTGTTACATTTCACCACTTTCTATCTGGCATTGAGAATCACAGCTTTCGGCCATGGGAACCGTGCCAATTTACACATGTCCGAGGGGTACACACAGTATGTGCTCTAGACTACCAGTTGTCGGACTTTAATTTTGTGGAAGTCTCGGTGGCTGAGTGGGTTGGAGCGCTGACTTTGTGTGCTGGCGATAAGGTGCCTCACTCTGGCAAGTAGGGGTTCGAATCCCGGACGAGACTCAATCCCAAAAGGTACGAGAATCTGTACTTTACTAAGAAAGTGTTATCCCAATAATAACAGTTACATTTGACCACTTTCTAAACTGCATAGTGTATTCATATGTACACTGTGCAACAACGGTGTCTGATGCAGACTTGGAGAATCATACCCCTGGTGACTATGTCTTTATGTTTTAATAATTTCATATTGCTTTGCTAATATTATTGCTAGGATCCCCTTTGTTATTGTTATGTAAGCAAATGTTGTGGGTAATGAATTATTCTTAGTGTAGAATTAATAAACTCTTCTTAATTGCCGTTAGATTGTTGTGTAATCCATTTGAAATGTTGAGCCGAGCATTGTGTGCTTGGATGTATGCTGTGTTACCCTCTGTATCTGGCCTGAGGCCTTATAAATAAACTTTGCCTTGACCTAATATTAAAAATTCGCGAAGACCCCAATACAACACGTGTCTGTAAAGGCATTGGATGACGTTAGCGCTAGGGGGTTAATAAGCAGTCAGATTAAAGGCTTATCTTAAGATTAACAACTGAGTAGCTTATAACTAAACAACATTTGATGCAGAAAATGGTGGGTTTTTTATGTAATTCTTTTAATTCTCAATTAAAGTTCTCAAAAAGAGGGGTATAAAATAAGGGCCCATCTGCATTTATTTCATTTCACTATGACGAAACTTCAACCTAAGTAACAACATAACTTCACAACGTGGTGGTCAACAGGTCATACATGATGGTTTTCGCTATCGCGTGAACATCGGACGTCATTTGGCTGTCCATTGGAAGTGTGTCTTTGGTGGATGCAAAGGTCGACTAACTATCGACTAACTACCATTGGCGATCATGTCTCCTCAGTTTCTGATCACAGTCACCCATTGGTAGAGCGTGAAAAACAGTTAAGACTCTTCAGGAGACTAAGGCAACGTGTGAAGGAAGACACAAAACCCATTCAGCAGATCAACACTTGATGCTCCTTCAGCTGCTACCGTCGCTCCCTTGGTCAGCATGAAGCCCGGACTCTACCGACATCGCAGAAAGGATCTACCTCCATTGCCTCCGAGAGCCTCCCAGATGTTAGTTTGGAAGGTTCCTGGAAGAAGACTCAAGACAGACGTCAGTTGTTGTGTGTCGATGACGGAGACGTAAACAAGATACTCGTGTTTCCCACAACACAGATGCTGGACATGGATGGTCCCTTCTACACATGCCTACGTTTATGTGATCCGCTGCTTAATGCATGACCAGATGTATCATGCTGCCTGCTCCCTGCTTCCAAACAAGCCCAGAGCTACAAATGCCAGACTATTCCAGCTACTTAAAGTGAAGTTATCACACACGTCTCTAAATACATGGCACTATGAGTGAGTGAGTGAGTGAGTGAGTGAGTATGGGTTTACACCGCTTTTAGCAATATTCCAGCAATATCACGGCGGGGGACACCAGAAATGGGCTTCACACACTGTACCCATGTCGGGAATCGAATCCGGGTCTTTGGCGGGACGAGCGAACGCTTTAACCACTAGGCTACCTGACCGCCCCAGCTACTTAAAGCCCCACCCTGACTATAAATAGCCCGCAAGGTGGCAGTGTTTCAGTTTCGAACAGTGACTGGTTGTAATCACAACCGAGTGTCGAGAGAAGCTTTTTGAAAACAAGATCATCAAAGACCCTCAATCTTCGTATCAACTTGAATGACAAACCCTGGATACCACAAATGGCTCCATATCTAGATATAAGTCAATAAATTTTAATAAAGTTTTATCTTAAAAAATCGAATCGATCATGTTTGGTGTCTGCATCAATCACAGTGGGCGGAGCTTATTGACGGTTGCGCTATAAATAGCATAGCACATGTGTACATGTGACACAATGCATTTAAGGTCAAAGTGTATTGTGGTGTATATTTTTACGGCAGAACAGGAGCAGAACAACAGTTTCGGTTAATGTAACAGTAACGATACATAAATACGTAATTGACAAGATTCTTTTAGTTCATTCCGTTTAGTTTTGCCATTTGCATTCAACAGTTCTAGATCCATACCACACAATATTCAGATTATGTTTACAAAACTTAAAATATTACTCATTTTTCATATTTTCAACTAGTGTTTAGGAAGGGGCCTAATTTAAAGCACCAGAAGTTGCGCCAATATGTTTTAGCTTGACAACAAAATATGAATATGTCACGTGTATCAACATAGTAATGCACACAAGCAACTGATAAATATAAAACGAAACATTACTCGATGTTTTGACCTACATTAGGCGTATCTAGATAATATTGTAATTACGATAAACGAAAACTCCAATACACATATTCCAAGACATCTTTAATTATGGATTTCCTTTCCTTTCACAGAATTTTCACACACAAAACTGAGTTTTGATCATTAGATCCACACTTGTCCCATGTATTGTTTGCTCGGGGTATTTGAATGTACATCGCACACGAAGTTTAAAATACAATCTTGGATCCCTTTCCCGTTTGTCGACACTAACCCTTCATCTGCTGAAACGTTTAATACATATTCGGCTTCATCTGGTTCCACGATGAAGTATCGCTGTGACACTGATTCACCAATCCCAATAATAGGCACTGAATTTGTCAAAATATTGTCGATTCGAATTGGATCTTTCTCCACGATAAAGTCACTAATATCATAATCGAAATTACCAAAGGCTCCCTGATAATCTCGAACAACTCTCCGTCAAATAAAGCGTCACATGATAATGTTTTTGTTGCTCATATTGAAGTCAAGCGAACTAGCAAAGTTCTTGACACATGTAAGCAGCAATCAACTTGGATACGCTCATGGGGCGCAGTTGCTGGAAGATCGCGTGGTCAGAAAGGGGAAAACAAAAAGTTTTAGAAAGTAATAAAAGAAATCCGCAGTGCAATCCAAAAGTACAATGTACAAGATGTTTTTTAGTAATAGTATTCACGAAAACATTTCTTTCTTCACAGCATGGGACCCGCCAAGTTTCACAGATCGAGTGACTTCGGCAGTCGGAGCATTCGGACAAGTGACTTTGCCAAAACACATTGCTACTGGGCAATGAAAACATGTGACGGAAACGACAAAAAAACTACTTTCGTCACTTGAAAATATTTGTGACCATTACCAGGGTTTTTTACACACTCGTTGTCATCCAGATTCCAGATGAGGCAAAACGAACACTACGAAAAAAACCCAGTTGAAATCACCGATTGCCGTATATGTTGTGAGAAATGCTATTCACAAACTGCACATATACCGTACACCACAGGATCACGATTGGTGCCGTGATTCCTATAATGTTTTTTTGTTCAATTACACTGCTCTTATTTTCGTTCTCGTTTTGGGCTGTACGTGTTGGATAAATCGTGGACATTCCACAGTATCATTTTATGGCGACATGGGAGGTAGGTTTTGGAACCCAAGAACTACACGTTTGTTGAAGTCTTGGAATCGTTTGATGGATATATTTACCATTAAAACTTACGTCCTTGTTGTCAAACGGCCCACGTGGGTGGGTGTTTACATGACGTAACCCGTTTACGCATTCGTGAAATTCGTGTGTTATCATGACGTCATATTGACCTGTCAGATCACTCGTATAAGCTCCGCCCACTAGAGTGCGGTAGTCACAATCGCAGATGCCCCTCAAAGGATACTTCACAGAGAGCAGTTGGAACTGAACCATCTCCAGAGTTAATCCAGACCGACTTTGAATCTGCTGCCATGCGAGCTGCAGATGAAGCCTTCCCTAATGTTGACCTGCGTGGATGGTTTTATACACTTTACACAAGCAATGCAGCGCCGTGCAGCGCAAGAAGGTCTATCTGGGGAGTATCAGCAGAATATTCCAGTCTAGACCCATGTCAGACGTGCTGGGGTTCTCCTGCTTCTGCCAGTAAACCAGGTCCAGGACACGTGGCTCGCCGCACTGAACGAAAGTCCAGTTAGCCAGAATATGGATAGGTTTAATGCAAGCCATTTGGGTGGACTATGACGCCATATTCCCCATCGGGATTTGGAATCAACACCAGAACATTGGGCCAAGAACCAACAATCATCTCGAGGGGCTTCACAATCGTTTACATCTTCACATCTATGATTTCCTCACCAACATTAAGAAGATTGAAGCTGCCGACAGAGTGAAGAGACTTCAAGTTGATCATGGTGCCGCAAACAACCCTCGACCTAGAGTGTATCGCAACCTTGAAAAGAGACATGTGATTGAGGGAGCACCTTGCCACAGGAAGGAAGACACCACTTCAGTACCTTGATGCTGCCGGCCATCTATTGAAGTTTAAATGACTTTGTGTATGACTAGAGAGTATGAACTATGGTGATTTGTTATCCGTTAGACCATGATCATTGTTGTATATTTTTTTTATGCATCATAAATAATATAATCTCTTACATTAATACCCACTGTTTGTCTTCTCGGTGAAAACAAAATGATCCAGTCCATTCTCCACAAAGGGTAGACGTGTGACTATCAGACCGGTCAATATGCTTACCCTTTTGTGTATATAATAGGCTTCTCCACTACCCGTACAGATACTTTTCAACAATACTCTGTACATCACGGGCTTGGTAACGGTGTGAGAACCTACACTGCAACGTCTCTCCCAACTGTAATGAAGAAGTTGTTCATCCATATATCTTATCCTTACTAGGTAAGTGTTGGAATACACGATACGATGGCAAGATTCGAGTGTTGGAATGTACGATACGATGGCACGATGCTAGTGTTGAATTTACATACGACGGCAAGATGCTTGCGTATGGATGTACGATACGAAGGCAAGATGCTAGTGTTGGAATGGACGATACGATGGCAAGATGCTAGTGTTGGAATGTACGATACGATGGCAAGATGCTGGTGTTGGAATGGACGATACGATGGCAAGATTCTAGGTTTGGAATGTGCGATACTGTGGCAAGATGCTAGTCTTGGAATGGACGATACGATGGCAAGATGCTAGTGTTGGAATACACGATACGATGGCAAGATTCGAGTGTTGGAATACACGATACGATGGCACGATGCTAGTGTTGAATTTACATACGACGGCAAGAGGCTTGCGTATGGATGTATGATACGAAGGCAAGATGCTTGTGTTGGAATGTACGATACGAAGGCAAGATGCTTGTGTTGGAATGTACGATACGATGGCACGATGTGAGTGTGGGAATGTACGATGCGATGGCAAGCTGCTAGTGTTGGAATGTACGATACGAAGGCAAGATGCTAGTGTTGGAATGTACGATACGATGGCACGATGCTAGTGTTGAATTTACATACGACG